GCCAATACCATAGTGAAAACGGGAATGAATACTAATATATTTTGTGATTGGATTACTAATTCACAATATAGTTGTGATACCATCTTGGTGATTATAAATAGATTGACCAAGGTTGCACATTTCTTACCCATTAGATAGGGTGATTTTTACATGTATGTGGATGAGATTATACAATACATGGAGTGCCAAAATCTGAAGAAGTCCATTGCCTGAACCTGCAGATTAGTAAAGAAAACACAAGCAAGAAAGCAGAGCTGATAGAAGAAACCCAGGAAGAAGATGAAGTCGATTTCATTGTATTGCCTTCCTGTCTCTGCTACAGTGATGCTAATATATAACCCACGTTAGTTACAGTGGTGTGGTTAAGATGATTAGAGCAGAGATCATACGGATAATATTTAAAGTAGGTCTGACATACAGCATGGATAGTGTAAAGGCAGGCCGTTTTTTATCATAAGCAGTGTAGATTATCATTTCTCCTTATCAGGCCCCCTCAAGTTAACAGTTGGTGAACAAAGTGTTAACTTGTGTCGAAGAGCAGCAAAACGCACAGCAGATAGAGACTTCATAAAGATGTCAGCAGGCTGGTCTTCGGTGGAGATATGATGTACTAAAATGTACTGAGAACGAATATAGTCTCGTATAAAATGGAAATCAATTTCAATGTGCTTAGTTCGAGCATGGAAAAGTGGATTGTTGGCTAAAGCAAGTGCGGAGACATTGTCACAGTATAATTTTGTAGGTGATGTGAGAGGCACTTGAAACTCCATGAGCAGTCGACGGAGCCAGATGAGATCACAAGCAGCGGTAGACAATGCTCTGTACTCAGCCTCGGTGGAAGATCGAGCGACTGAAGTTTGTTTCTTAACCATCCAGCAGATTAATGTGTCGCCGAGGAAAGCACAATATCCTGTAATAGATCGACGGTCAGATTTATCTGTGGCCCAATCAGAGTCAGCAAAGGCATTGAGTTGTAGATTGGATCTACTGATTGGTAAGCCTAGATGCAGAGAGCCCTGGACATAACGCAACACACGTTTGAGCAGCTGAAAATGAATTGTGTGCGGTTTATGCATGTGTTGACACAGATAATTGGTAGCAAACTGTAGATCAGGACGAGTGATGGTTAAATTTTGAAGTGAGCCAACGAGTTGGCGATAGAAATCCGGCCGAGAATAAAGAGGTCTGTCCTCTACAGCAGATGGTAATTTGGACGGCAAGGGTGATTGCACAGGTTTGCAATCGGATATGGCAGCCTTGCTGAGAATTTCCTGTGCATAACTGGTCGGATTAAGATGAATGCCATTCTCGGTGTAAGCAGCCTGAAGACCAAGAAATTGATTCAATTTTCCAAGAGTTCTCATGGAGAACTGAGAGTGAAGTGCAGTAATTAATTGATCAATTGTGGTTTGAGAGTTGTCTGTTAGCAAAATATCGTCAACATACACTAAGATGTATAGTTGAGTTGTATCTTTATGAAATAAGAGGAGAGAGGGATCGGCTGTGCTAGTCTTAAAGCCATATTGGATGATATAATCTGAGAAGGTGGTAAACCACTGCCGTGGCGACTGCTTGAGACCACTAATAGCTTTGCGTAACAAGAAAACATGATGCGGATGTTGAGGATCTACAAACCCTGCTGGTTGTTTCATAAATACAGTCTCCGATAAAACACCATGTAAGAATGCATTCGACACGTCAAGCTGCACAATGGGCCATCTATGCATCACTGCAATTGTAAGAAGAATACGCATGGTGGCAAATTTTACAGCAGGGCTGAAAGTTTCATGATAATCGAGGCCATGCTCTTGTTTAAACCCTTGGGCAACAAGTCATGCTTTGTAACGTGTAATTGATCCATCAGAGTTATACTTGGTTTTAAAGAGCCATTTGCAACCAAGAACATTTTGATTGGGATTATACGGTACTAATACCCAAGTTCCCTGCTTTTGTAGTGCTTCAAATTCAGTGCTCATAGCTTCTCGCCAAGCCAAGTACTTAGAAGCCTGTGTGAATCCAGTTGGATTTGTTGGTATGACAAGATGTGCAAGATCAAAAATTGTTTTTGGTTTGAGCTTTCCTGTTTGATCTCGGGTGAGCATGGGGTGTTTGAGACGGGTTACATCTTGATGTGGTGATATTGGATGGAGCAGGGGAATGGACTGAGACTCAGCTGCAGCAGGAGAAGGATGCACTAGTGAGTTTGGTGGTATAGGAATCGGATTTATGAATGAAGTTGGAGGATGACTGAGTGAGACAGGTATTAGACTTGATATAGATTCATGTGATGTAGGGAGAGTGCTGGGTTTAACGGGAAGGTTAGTATGAAACAGAAAAATGTGTTCATGAAAACGAACATGACGTGAAATGTATAGTTTGGAAGTTTGGACATCAAAGCAGCGATAGCCTTTGGTGTTTTCAGCATATCCAAGAAACACACAAGGACTAGAGCGAGGTGATAGTTTGTGTGAGAGATGAGTTGGAAGCCATGGATAGGCTAGACAACCAAAAATGCGTAGGTAGGAATAATCTGGTGATCGATGAAAGAGACATTCGTAGGGAGATTTATGGTTAAGTGACGAAGACGGAAGTCTGTTAATTAAATAGACTGCTGTAGTTAGTGCATCAACCCAAAATTTTTGAGGTAAATTGGCATCCAGCAGTAAAGCTCGAACAGTTTCAATAATGTGACGATGTTTTCTCTCAGATACCCCATTCTGTTGAGGAGTATAAGCACAGGTAGTTTGATGCAAGATGTCGAAGTTTTTGAGATGATTTTTAAATGTAGTATTGACATACTCTCCTCCACGATCAGTTCGAAGAATTTTAATTGATTTTTGAAGTTGATTTTCAACAGATTTCTTAAATGATAGAAAAACTGAGCAAACATCTGATTTTAGATGAAGAGGAAAAACCCAAGTATAGCGGCTAAAATCATCAACAAAGATAACATGATAGCGATAGGATTGCATAGAGGAAATTGGGGAGGGACACCATACATCACTGTGAATAAGTTCTAGACATTGACTTGTTCTACTAGAAGATAAAGAAAACGGTAAATGACTACATTTTGCCCGTGCACAAGCACTACAATGTAAGATACGATTGATGGTAGAACCATTGGAGAAAACTGCGGGTATGAATTGCTGGATTGATGAAGAAGGATGTCCTAACCGCCGATGCCACACAGAGGATAGGTGAGTAGATGAGGCCAATGCTGTAGTAGTGGCATTGTTAGCTTTGTAAGCTGAGGAATGTGGATTAATTGGATAGAGCCCATGATGATTGGGTCCGTGGAGAAGTGTCTTGTTGGTCTGGGAATCCTTTATAATAAATCCATTGGAGTCAAGTAGAACAAAGCAAGGATTATCAGTAGTAAGCTTATGTATAGAAAGAAGGTTATGGGATAGTTGTGGGACATGTAAGATTTTGGCTAAACGAAGCTTACTGTTACGAGTAGGTAGCAATCCATGTCCTGTATTGGCAATTTGAAGCTATTGTCCATTCCCAACTTGCACATGAGATGCTCCAGTGTATGGTTGAATGTGTTGAATCTGAGAAGAATTGGCTGTTAAATGTTCTGTTGCTCCAGAGTCCAAAAACCATTCTGCAGAGTTTGGATTGTCCGTGGTAATGTATGCTTGAGGAGCACTGTTATATGTTGTATCATGGCGATACCAGCAGTTAACAACCGAATGACATTGTTTTCCACATATCTGACATTCAATACCAGGACGTGATCATCTTCCTCCTCGATTTGAACCGAGGACAACTGTGCTAGGATATGATCGACCGGTGGAGTTACGTCCTGGAGCTGCTCGTCCTGGGAATGATCCACGGGTTCTACCACGAGTTCGTCCACGGAACGAACCTCTAGTTGCTGTAAGAGCAAAGCTGGAGTCAGAGGTAGCGGTTGTAATGGATTCACGACTGCTATCTGCATTCAGATGTAGTTCTTCACTACAGAGTAGGGAGTAGAAATCATCAAGTGAAATAGGATTTAGTTGAGTGCGAATAGCAGTTTTAAATGACATATAAGTGGCTAGTAAGCCATTTAATGTATAGTGTATAGTGTCTTCGACATCTATAGAAGATCCGGCAGTGGCGATCGCGTCAACTTTGTTCTTAATATCAGAGAGATATTGAAACATGGTTTTGTCTCCAAGATGTAATTGATGCAGTTCACCCTTGAGTTGCAGAAGCCTGGAGCGGTTGGAGGACTGGAGACGGCGATCAAGAGTTACCCAAATCTCATGAGTAGAATTGAGATTCAAGATATAGGGTAACAGAGAAGGAGAAACTATGGAGTAAATGGCGGAAGCCAAATGCTGATCGATGAGCATCCAGGTAATGTATAGAGGATTGAGCACTCGGATTCCATTATTGTTTAGGATCAGTTTTTCCGGCTGAACAGAGACTCCCGTAAGATGATCTTCAAAGCTATTTGCAGTGAAGAGTTTTAGGAGTTGAGACTTCCATATAAGATGATTCTCAGAAGTTAACTGAACGGTAACCATGGTTTTCACATTTGACATGAAAAATTTCAGTTGAGGGGGAATAGTAATTTCTGCAGTTGTAACGGAAGAATCGGAACCTTCCGCCTGCGTCGTAGTCGACGACTCAGCCATCGGAACTTACACCAGCGACCTACAGCTCTGATACCATGAAGAAGTCCATTGACGGAACCTGCAGATTAGTAAAGAAAACACAAGCAAGAAAGCAGAGCTGATAGAAGAAACTCAGGAAGAAGATGAAGTCGATTTCATTGTATTGCCTTCCCATCTCTGCTACAGTGATGCCAATATATAACCCAGGTTAGTTATAGTGGTGTGGTTGAGATGATTAGAGCAGAGATCATACGGATAATATTTAAAGTAGGTCTGACATACAGCAGGGATAGTGTAAAGGCAAGCCGTTTTTTATCATAAGCAGTGTAGCTTATCATTTCTCCTTATCAAAATCTATAGTATTAGAAAAAGATGATAAGTTAACATTCAAGTTATGGAAGAAGAGTCATGAAGCTTTAAATATTATACTAACTTTTAGTGCTCCATTACATCCTCAACCAAATGGCCATTAAAAAATGGTAATTCAAACCTTGAAAGATTTACTAGGA